GTGGTGAGGGTGCGTATCTCGACGGGGAGATCGTTCCACAGGGTCTTCACAAGTAGTTTATTGCAAGGTGCAAACTCACAGGGTTGAAGAAAAATAAAATCTTGTTTGAGTTGAATTCCAACACTTCAAAGACAATCCATATAATTTTCCTGCCCTTGTCATTAAAACTATTAGGTTCCAATTTTTAAACTTTTAAGCATTCTACTTTAGCTTTGCTGCTAATTTAAACATTTATCCATTAAAGATTACCTTTTTAGAGGCCTGTTAGAAAAGCCAGAGCAACATTTTATAATAAGCAATTCACTGGTGATTAAGTTAGAAAGTATCTTGTACACTAATTTATGGCAAAATTATTAATTAAATTGAGGAAGTATAAAGCTCTTCCGTTTGTTATCCTTTGAAATGAAGCAAGAACATAGACCATTTCCAGAACAGGTCTAATTATTTGGTTCCCACTGCAAGCTATGTAACAATAAATGGAAACTAAAGCAAACCAAAGGACTCAAAACTAAAATGCCCATATGCCTTTATTATGCCGTGCCCAACTTATGTAGGGCCAACCTATCCTTTCACTGTAATTGTGCCAAGCATTTGTCTAAGCCCAGCGTCTTTATCACTTGCATTTTATACATAAGAGCACATGATTCCTACATTCAAAGGTAATGTATGAAAACCTGACACAAGCGATTAAACCAGTAAGGCAGAAGCAGCAACGCTGTGCAATTGAAGAGCTTCAAGGCTGTCATTTGCTGTTACTAAGGCCAAGGAAAAATCCCATGGGTGGTTAGAGCTAAAACATTTTATTGGAGATGAAAATCACTGACATTTCAACGGTGGTTTTGCAAGAACAGGTTTGTAATCAAATGCAATTTGCTTTCATCTCGGTTACAGCCAACATGATATAAATAACCAATTGAAAACTCTTCTTCTTTAGACATTATATCGCAAAAGAGGACTTTTGATGCTGCAGGCTACAATTGCTCCATCCGGGCTCTCAAATTACACTGCAACTATTTAGAAACTCCCCTGGAAGCTGCTTGCTCCAAGGAAAACACTTTGGTGGGCTAATTATTCAGCCACAATTTAATAAACTAGCATTAGAATGAAAAGGAGCTGCTAAGAAATCTACCAAGTGAAACTAGTTTGCCTTATCCAGTGGTGGGTTTCAAAAAATTTTGGAACCTCTTCTGTAGATGTGGCCTGCTTTCCGGGTCCACCGGTGGAACCTCTTCTAACCGGTTCGGTAGATTTGACGAACCGGTTCTACCAAATAGGTGCGAACTGGTAGGAACCCACCTCTGGCCTTATCCCATATTACAGCTCTGTTCATTCTATTTTTAGCCTCATTCTTCTAAAGTACTCTGAAAAACGTGCAAGAATGGCTTAGAACGACTTGAAGATGTGTGAACTTCAATTTGAAGATGTGTGGACTTAGCAACTTCAATGTGTGAAACACACACCTTCAAGTTGCAAAGGTTGAGAAACACTCAATTCTTCTCCAACCCAAATATTTTGGACTGGGTCATATAACTCCCAGCCTGCATGGCGATCAGTTGTGTGGGCCGAGACTAATGAAAATCGAATATGAATTTGAGGAAAGTTACCTTGGAAGCCACAGAACTCATTCTAAAGCTGAATGCGTCCACCATGATTTTCCTGCTCAATGACTAAATCAGTGTTTCTCAACCTTGTCAACTTGAAGGTGTCTGGACTTCAACTCCCAGAATTCACCAGCCGGCCTTCGCGGGCTGGGGAATTCTGGGAGT